GTTTTTTTTCTTTTATTCTCTCTGTCTCTGTCTCTGTCTCTGTCTCTCTCTCTCACAAGAGAAGGGGACTGGTGCTCTGCTCGCTCCCTGACGACAGGAGAGAGTGGTTATATCCCCAGCAACTATGTGGCTCCGTCCGACTCCATCCAAGGCAGAAGAGTAACATCTATCCTCTCCTTGTTTCACTCTTCCATTTATTTTGCAGTTTGTTTTTTTTCCAACGAAGGTTTAGGGCTTCATAGTTCTTGTAATGGTTAGCTTTTTATTCTCTCTTCTGCTTATATCTATTCTATCTATGTGGATGTAAATGATTGGTTTTATTTAGTAGAAACATTGTTTCCTGATATACCATTCCCACTCTTTCATTATTTCAGGTCAAAAAAGGCATAAATAACTGCTCCAGAGCTCAGTTAGTAGCTGCTCGTCTGATTTCAATTCTCTGAGTCCAGCTTTATGGCATGTGTGGTTATTTTGGGAAGATCAGCTCTGCGCGCTATAGAGAGGCTCTTTTGAAACTACAGAACATGACGAGGAACTTCTTGGTGATGGGAGGGAATGTGAGACCACTAAAGGGTTGAGCAATACTCAGTACATCTGCATTCTACTCCAGGAAGTGCTACAGTTTCATTTTATTCAAGTATGGTCAATTAGCTCTCTATCATTTCTGTGATCATAATTAAATTTCATGGGTCTGGGAGATGTATTTAATGTACAAATTACTATTTATATTTGACCCATACTCTCTTGGAATAAGGTCCTGTCGGCCTGTCATGTACCCTGTGTGCCTGATACTCGACAATTTTCTTGTTATGGAATCATTTAGCATTTCACATTTTTTATGACATTTTTATTAAGATAAACATGGGATGGATTAATTCAATAATTATTTTATGTTAAATTAATTATTACATCCCTAATGCGACAAATGATTTATGCTTTTAAGATTAAAGGCGTTGCTCCAAATCATGCTGATAAAATGTGTGTATTTTGATGATGTGTGCTTATATTATATAATGAGATCGCAGCATTAGCATCTTGATAATGTTTTTTTCGCTTTTTGCAGACGAGCCTTTGGGTTGTGTTTCCTGGCTAGTGGCACAATGGTTGTGAGGAATTGCCTGCCTTATCAGAGAAAAATTCTTCATCTAGAAGAATCATGTTTCATAAATTTTTTATCTTGCCACTTGCTAAGTTTTAAAGTGTCAAAAAAGAAATTGACATTTCCTTGTTGTCCCCTGAGTTTACTCTGCTCAGCAAGTGTTTTGTTTACTTTGAAATTAAGTAGATTCTTTAGGGATTCATATTTTGAAAAGAGTCAGTAACATTGTAATTTAAGTCATTGTTATACTTTCATCACTAGGCCTATTGGCACTGTATGTAAGGTCTCTGGGCTTGTGGCAAAGTTGTGCATCTTTTTCTGAAACTTCTGCTGTCAGATAGTATGTTCCCTTGGATGCGTATAGTTGGGCGTCTTTTAGAGGGTTGTTTTTGGTGAAGGTCGGGGGGGAAGAAAAGAGAAAAAGAGCGGAGTGGTTTGGAGGGCTTGTGATATGGGATAGGTGTGTGAATCTCAGCTCGTGCCAGGATACTAGGTCAACCTATGGAGGTGCTGCGATTTCCCCCTGGCTATTAAAGTCTCTGTTCTCCAACACAACCACAACATCACAACAATCCACACATCACATCATACACACATCGACACACACACATCACACTACACATACATCACACACAACCACATACACACACACACACTCTGAGAGAGGGGAGTAGAGGCATGAAGAGGGGGAAGAAACCTTAAAGGATACGACTTGTAGGAAAGGGGGAGGATCTGGGAGAGTAGGAGGGGCTCTGGCAGGAGGTGTGTTGTCCTCTGGGTGCGTTCTGTATTAAATGTCAAATGTGGGATTCGTGGTCTGACACAGAGGAGCAGAGGCATGTTGTATAAAGTATAAATGATCATTTATAAAGCAAAAGTCGTAACTCATTTCAAATCTTAGGTTTTGATACAGGTGTTAAAAATAAATAAGTGGTTGTGAACAGTGTGTAGTTTTATTGTGCAGAACGTTTTGATATTTTAGAAGTAATTTAGTTGAGGCTGCAGTAACAGTATCTGTAGTTTAGTACTGGTGGGTCTTTTAGCATGGGAGTCCACATAAGTCAGTGGTTAAGCTGCTGGAATAGTACTGTGATGCTCATGTACTTCGGGTCAATAGACTGTGTGGATATAATCTTTGGGAAGTGCCTTTATTGCTCTAGATTTTCTGTCTTTCGAGGGCAGAAAAAAGTCAGAAAAACCCCAGATCAAAGATGATTGATTTTTCGTTTTCCTTTACTGTGTAACAACCTCTCCTGTGGAGCTTAGGTTTGCTAAGTCTGTTCAGCCTTTTGAATCACTTCCTAAAACACATTTTCACAAGTTTCATCCCTGTCACTTGAGTCATTTGAGTGAGTTCTGATCTAATAATCTGTTGTTTTAATTGTTTGTGATATAGTTATCTTCTGTGGCTGTACAAAACAAGTCAATAATTATCAGTTTTTTACTCCGTAAGATCAAACTGTACTTAGTAGTGGGCCATGGACATGGAAAGGCTTAGTTGCATTTTCAGGGCCTTTCAAGGGGCCAACAGGGACTTGCCCAGCACAGCTGCTAGGAAACTCCACAGAGCAGCTGTCACACAGGCCCAGATACGCCTGGTTTTATTGTTCTAACCTGTCTCTGTCTGTTGTTTTGTCTTGTTCACAGGGGCATATTGCCTGTCAGTGCTGGATTATGATAACACCAAAGGCCTGAATGTAAAACATTACAAGATCAGGAAGCTGGATAGTGGAGGTTTCTATATCACCTCCCGCACCCAGTTCACCAGCCTACAGCAGCTAGTCTTCCACTACCGCAGTGAGTACTCACACATCGGCTCTCCGGTGGTAAAGAAATGCCACTAAGTGCACAAGTTTAAGATTTCACAATACTGTTGCCCTTAATCTGCCCTTTCACCCTGCCTATTCCCTCTTTCAGAGCACTCTGATGGGCTGTGCCACGCTCTTTCAGACGTGTGTCCTGTGGCCAAACCTCAGACGCAGGGACTGGCCAGGGATGCCTGGGAGATTCCCAGAGAGTCCCTCCGCCTCGACCTTAAACTGGGTCAGGGCTGCTTTGGAGAAGTCTGGATGGGTAAGAATGACACACCACCCCTTTTTTATTGGAAGGGATTTAAAAAGCTAATTAATTTCTTCTTAAAAGAACAGTTCTTGAGAAATACAATCATGTTATTTTGCTGTCCTGACAGGTACATGGAACGGTACAACACGGGTAGCCATTAAAACCCTAAAGCCTGGCACCATGTCTCCAGAGGCCTTTCTTCAGGAAGCACAGGTCATGAAGAAGTTGAGGCACGAGAAGCTGGTCCAGCTGTATGCTGTAGTGTCTGAGGAACCTATCTACATTGTGACAGAATATATGAGCCAAGGTAACACAGGATACAGTGCTGGGTGTCAAATGTCAGTACTTTTGTTGGTACTTAATCAAACTGTGAAATACTTCCTCAGATTCATAATCTTAAGAAGAACGTATGGAGAAAAAAAAAGGATCGTTTTGGTATAGAAATCTGTGTATTGTATCAACACTAGTTTGGAAACATTTCTAATTATCCCCATAAATTACTGCTCATACATTGGTTTACTTATATGATATGATAGCTTGTGCTGTCGGTCATATAACGGACAAATGGTCATTTATTTGGTGGTTATCTTACATTTGATGAATGTAATTTAATTTAATCTTACACTCACAGGTAGCTTACTGGACTTCCTTAAAGGGGACGCAGGAAAGATGCTTCGTCTGCCTCAGCTAGTAGACATGTCTGCTCAGGTAAAATCACTTGTGGTTTAACTAAACACACTAAAAACTATACAATATTTGTATTTATTGTAATAAATCGTCCTCTCCTCCTACAGATAGCGGCAGGCATGGCTTACGTGGAGAGGATGAACTACGTCCACCGAGACCTACGCGCTGCCAACATCCTGGTGGGAGACAGCCTGGTGTGTAAAGTGGCCGACTTTGGTCTGGCAAGACTCATTGAAGACAACGAGTACACTGCAAGACAGGGTAAGTCCACACTTCCTCTTTTCACAACAGTTTATCATTTTCATTTGTGTTGATGAAACCAAACAGACATGATGTCCGAGCTATAATGCTAAGAGAAGTATATATTTGTTTACTGATGAAAAGTGATAACTAATGAGACACTGACATTTTTTATTCTACATGTTGCTTTTAAACTTCACTCACTCATAACGGTTTGGTTCCAAAGGAGCTAAGTTCCCAATCAAATGGACCGCACCAGAGGCCGCGCTGTATGGTCGTTTCACCATCAAGTCTGATGTTTGGTCTTTTGGTGTCCTGCTCACAGAGCTGGCAACTAAAGGCAGAGTCCCATATCCAGGTAAGGACTCACAGTGTATCAGCACCTCAACAATTCCCCATTCAAACAAATTTTTTTTTAACAAAATGCACTTAAACAATAATCAGTGATAAGAGCTGAAACAATAAATCAATAAATTGATTAGTCATTGACAGAAAATAAATAAATCTGCAACCAGTTTGATAATCAATTAATTGTTGTTTTCAAGAAAAATGCAAAAAAAATGTCTCAATCCAAATATGAGAATTTGGTGCTATTCGTTCTCTTATGTGACAATAAATTCAATACCTTTGAGTTTTGGACTATTCCAAACCGGGTATTTTAGGGACATTGCCTTGTACTCTGGGATATTGTGATGTGCATTCTTCACTACTTTCTGATATTTTATAGACCAAAACAAAACAAATCAGCAGATTAATAACTTTTGAAGATAATCGTTAGTTGCAGCCCTAAAAATTATATAATAGAACATTAATAATAAACATCATGATCGCAGCAAAACATTGTGTATATAATAGTATAAATAATTCCATCCGTCATATTTACTGTATTAGAAGGTCAATCCTTCCCTGAATCTAACTTCCTGTTTCTGTCGGCAGGTATGGTTAACCGCGAGGTGCTCGACCAGGTGGAGCGCGGCTACAGGATGCCCTGCCCGGCAGAGTGCCCCAGCTCCTTGCACGAGCTCATGCTCTCCTGCTGGAGAAAGGACCCAGAAGAAAGGCCTACGTTCGAGTACCTGCAGGGCTTCCTAGAGGACTACTTCACCTCCACAGAACCCCAGTATCAGCCTGGGGAGAACCTATAGAACCACAAACTGAACCGAACCGAACCGAACCTGGGGGGGCGGGGGGAAGGGGAAGAACCTCAACACAGAACGATCTGCACTAACCGACCTCAGAGGAGCACCTGTGGGAGGATCTGAGCCTGTGAAACTCACCTGGGAGGAACTTGAGATTCTTCTGTGGAAGCAAAACCGAGACAGAAACCTGAAGAGGTCACATCATGTGCCATAAAGAAACTGCTACAGAAGAACCTTAAGAACCTCCTTTCTGCAAGCATTCACCGTTTACCGAAGGTTTTCCTGCGGAAGTGAGGTTCAAGGCTGTGAAGGGGAACTCCTGCTGGACGGACTCTGGTTGGATCGAGGGACTACACTGGCGGGTAGATGTATTTGAGAGGTGCGACCTACGTGGGAGGAAACCGAATCAGGATCTACAGACGGAGCGAGAGGGAAAAGAATAAACATCCTGTTGAAGACAGAAAGTCGAGGGAGGATATTTCAGTCGGACATGAGCTGTTTAAGCGAAACCTCCCTCTTTCTATCTTCTATCGTGTCTCTTAACCCTCGTCTGGTACCTTCTCCGCCCACAGAAGAGCACTGCCACTGTGGCTCAGGTGCCAAAGGAAAGTCTGTCTCTCTTCACGTCCTTTATGTTCTTTCTGCCTCTCTTCCTCTATTTCTGCCTGACTTTCAGTATTTCTCTCCAGTTTTCTCAAGTGCTGCTTCTTCAAAGTGTCTCCAAATAACTCAGCTCTGGAACTCTACTTTGCATCTTTTTATTTATGTTTACTTGGACGATATACGTCCTGTGGTTTAGGGTTTTGTTCGATGGCAGACAAAGGTTCCTGATTTGTCTGTTTTTTTATTTTTGTGATAATCAGTAAGAAAGGTTGTTAGAACCACTATCTATGCCAGGATAAACATACTCAACAGGCAGGTTCTGTAACACTGAAAATTAGGTTAATTGAATAAAAATTCAAGGCCTTTCTCTCTTATTTAACCCTCCTTCTTTCTTTTCTACCACGCTGTACAGCTGGATCCAACCTGCATGATTTAAAAAATGATTTTGATGCAGGTAGTGTTTGACCCCTTGTTTTGAGTTACCTTGATTTTAACTGGAAAGTTGCATTGAAACTAATCAGCACGGTTATAGTGGCACTAAAGAGCAGTTTTAGGAGTTTTCAGCTCATTTCCTCAGAGGCGTAAGTGGGGTATCTTTCATGTATCTTTCATCAAACATTTATGTGACCTACTAAGAGGCTGATATGGCTACACAACCAATCATATTACTGTTTAATATCCAACTCGGCTCAAGATGTGAAAAAACTAGAAGTGTAAAAGCCTTCCTTGTGTGCCAAATAAATCACGTTTCTTTACTGCTTTCCATGTATATAATGTTTTTATTATCGAGGGGCTTACTTTGGGTTTTTAGTTCTTAAACTAGGCAATTTACAATAAAACTCTGCACCCTTTCCCCAGTAAACCTCATGTTAATGAGTAAACAGGACAGACAGACCTGTTACTGTTTGCTGAAGGATTGAAAAGGTTTTTCATTCACTTCACAGCTGTTGTGTCCATAAAAATATGCAACCAGGCGGCCCTAATGAAACTGTAAAACTTTGATCAGGTAACCCTAATAAAACTGTGTTTATGACTTACTATAAGAGGTGATTTTAAAACCAGTTAGCATGCTTTTGTGCCGTTCTTCTCTTGACCATTTGGCTGGGTTTGTATTTATGCTGTACTGTACATCCAACACGTGTATGTTTACTTTACTCCAGGTTCAGGTGAGGTGATGGGATCACAAACAGACTTCTGAACATGTGCCATCAATTCTTTGTTTTATTTTTTTAATATCTTATCCACTGCTGCCACTCCTCACTGTCATACTGTACATACTGTAGCTCTTTAGAGTTGGTTTTTTGTATCATGTAAGCCACTTTCAAATGGTGGGGTATTTATGTTGGGTGTCACACATTTCACAGTGGTTTAGTTTATGATGTAGTCGATGCAGCAACAGTAGATATACAGTTATAGATTGTTGCCAACAAATGCTATAAAACCCAGTGATCACAGTATGAGCCACGCAGCCATAAGAGAGATGGTCCACGCCCAGTAACAGCAAGTTCTTATCCAGCGATGATGAATCCTTGTGGCTAATTTTAATCAATAATGTGGGTGATTCTAAAATCTCGATGAAAACAGAGTTTGGGTTGTGATATGAAATGAAAAATGAGGTCAAAGATGTAAATAGTATCTTAAACAAATGACTGTGACTATCATGTAATTTGTTTTTGTGTAGTTTTTCTTTAATTGCTCCTCCATGTTGAGGTTTTTACAGTGATGCACGCCTGTTCCCAAAATGTTCTAATATTAAGATGCTACTGTAAATGGGGCTTAAGGGATGTTTTCTTTTTTTTTTAATATTGGACTTATTATAAAATCCTATCTGCAAAAGACAATTTAAAATTGGGCTTGACGTGTATATTTCCGAGAACATATTTATCAGTGCTTTCCTCTTTTAGATTGGGAAATACCCAAATCTGCCGCACTGAGCCGCCTGTAAGTCACTGCGACAATGTGGAAGTTAACGGGCTCATGACAAGTATGAGTAACACCAAGGTCTGATTGGATTTTCTGTGCCATATTAAAGAAGTGTCTCGCCCTTTTTTTATGTTTTTTTTTTTTTTTGGTTTTATTTTTATAAATCTATGCAGTTTCAGTCTGGCATTCCTGCAACTTCATGGCCATTTTGTTCTAAAGTCGATAACAATGATCATAAACAGAAGGTGTGAGCATTTTGTAAGGACTTCTTTCGTCTTTTTTTTTTTGTTTCCGATGTAACAGGATTGAAATGGGTATCGTGCCACTTTATGTTGATCTTTAAATGTGCAATAAATTATATTTCAAATGTGTTTTGATAAGAGTGCGTGCTGGTGTGTGTGCTGTCCTTTGACCTGGAAACCTCACGCTGCTCAAACATGATTCAGTTACTTCTGAAAGTGTGATGAGCATGTTGCACCACAAACTTAACGTTTAGAGAAGTGAGCATGTGATGTGAGGATCATCAGATCAGGTTGGCATTTAGAATAAATTAGAATTTCATGAAATTAAAGTATATCAAGAAAAAGAAGAATTATGTGCTCGCTGTTGAAAGTTTATATAAAGTTAAATATTATATTCTCATATAAATATTCAGTATGATAATGCAATAAAATTAATGGGCAGCAGTTTTACAGCACAGTATACCAGTGAGTTCATTCTGGTTCTTTAGTTCTTATTTTCCAATATATTTTAATGTTGTATACTGGATACCTATCTTTATCTTAATAAAGGTTAGTGGACTGTGTAAACAACAGGGACAACTAACTCCAGGACTTAATCGTTAGATCACAATCAACCACCACCACACACACACACAAAGTAATAAATGACCTTGTAATCAATAAAACTCAATAAGCTCAATAACAACACTCACTAATCATCAATTTCCAGTGAGGAAACACAAAGAAAAACTGAGTCAAATGTATGAATAGATGGACGAAGTCAACAAATGAATTAAACAAATTTAAATGTAAAAGGTAAAAAAAAATTAGCAATAAAACATGTTTTAAAAAAAAGCATAAATGGACAAATAAGAATAAATAACATTTCATGAAAAGCCGGACTGAAAAGGTGGTTCTTGAGTTTGCTTTTTAAAACCTCGGTAATATCTCTGCTGCCCATATCAAAGTGGAGTTCTGAAAACATCTGATATGTTGAATTTCTATAAATATATCAAAAAGTCAATAAACCAAAACCAAAAAAGTGCCTGAACACGGCTTCCTTACATCACCTTAATACTGGATCTGTTTACAGTCCTGTGAGTGAGGAACGTGGGTTGGGGGTTCTCGTATCAATGGCAGTCTTTTGAAGTGTGAGTCAGTGTGTTTTAAACAAATGTATTTCACCAGAATGGAGCTCATGAACAACTGTCTGGATAAATGAGTATGCATCGCACTCCTGCTCAGCAAGATGGGGGAAAAA